TACTTAGATAATGGTTTGCAAAGACTCATTATGGGCAAGAAACAGCCTCAAAACATTGATCGGTCTTCTGAGGCAACGGGGTTCTCTTAATATGTATTTCTTCAAAATTCAGAACCTCATTTTCAAAATCTCACAAGTGAATGAGCATTAGGAGTCCTTGCCCTGACACAGGCCTTCTGGAACTGCTGGCATAGAAACATCTCGCAAATTCCATGTTTAAGGTTTGATATCTCAGCTATGTCAAAACTGCAGTGGGAAATATTCTGAAGAAAAAGTTATTTAAAAAAAGCATTTTTTAATGATTCTTTTAAACGTGGTTGGGCACTGCTTAAACTGGCTTTCAGTATAAAGTGAAATTCTGCCCTCATTAAAAAGGGGAAAACTTGAGGTTCAAAAGTACTATAATGTCTAGCTAATCATGATTGGATCAGATAAAGCTCCTGCTTAAGGAAATTAAGTTCATTTCTGATTATCTTTTATCTTCTACCAACCTGAAATGTGCTATCCAGACTATCTAACAGAAAACAAAATTCTTGAAAGAGAGAGAAGTTTTCTGAACAAGTCACAGTTGTTACTTGAGCATCAGTGACGAGATGTGCAGGCGGATGCGTCACATGCACCCTGCACTGGGAAGTCACTGATTCTCTTCCGCTATTATAATCATGTGCCTTCTGGAACTGCACCTTTCCATCCTTTAAAACAGTTTCATGGCATGGTATCAGCCATCTCTCCTCCCCACCAAAGTCCTGCTCAAAGCTGTAAAAAGCTCTGAACTGTTCCTTGGGTTTTTTGAGCAATTCTGCCATGCCATGCAGTGAATCTGTGGTTCAGGTTAAACAATGCGGAGGTGAAATCACACAATGCCAAAAAAAAAAAATCTATCTAAAGACATAACAAAACCAACAGAAATAAAAAACAAATAACCTTTTAAGCATGGACTTCAGAACTGGGTTTAAAACTGACACCTGAGAGCACCAGAAGTCTATGAAATTTCCAGGGGTTTTCAATGCAGTTCTTTGGAACAAACAGCAGAATAATTGATTATTCAGTCTCCTGCTCTACTCATAACCCTTCAGTCCCTTCCTTTCAGTCGACTTCTAGACATACATAAATAAATAAAATAAAATAAAATAAAATAAAATAAAATAAAATAAAATAAAATAAAATAAAATAAAATAAAATAAAATAAAATAAAATAAAATAAAATAAAATAAAATAAAATAAAATAAAATAAAATAAAATAAAATAAAATAAAAAAGCTTTGACTGTGAGCTCTTTACACAGGGTTATGTGAAGCCATCAGCAAAACTGTTGCTGATTCCACGAGCAGCAGCATCAGGTGTCAGTGGCAAAAGCCTGGCACTGATGAAGTCAATGACAAACCTTCCACTGACTTCTGGGAATGTGAATCTCCATGGCTATGAATTTGACTTTATGCCTATGCTACATAAAATAATTCTGCTAATAAAAACCAGGGTGCTTCATCTGCCCTTTTCAAGCATCAAAGGCTATGTCTACAATACATAGACAGTGTGGACCAGCAGGAGAAAAAAGGCTGGTGCCCACACACCTTTCAAGAAGTTTTTATTTCACGCTAGCCTAGTCCTATGGGTTGAATGCGCTTCTGCAGCACATCTTCCAATTTTGTTTCATCATCCAGCCCATGAGCTCTGGGACTGCTCCACAATGCATACAGTACGTGGGGACAATTAGGAGATGCATTTCCAAAGCACACTCCTGATTTGACCTAACACGCTAATGTAGATGCATCCAAAGAGCTTAGAACATGTTCCTGCATTAAAACCTCTAAAATTAAGGAGTACCAAGGTCATGAAGAGGTTTATCTCCCTCTCAGTTAATAGGACTCACAGCCTTCAATGCGCTTCACACACGTGCAGCAATCTACAGTGAAGATGAGTTTTACAGCAGCAGGCACTGTGTTTCTGATTCCAAATATGTTCATTTCCCACCTGCTTGACCTTGTTACCTTCAGATTTTTATTCAATTAGCTCTCCACATTTAGAACGCTTTTCTATGTAGCTGAGTATTTTATTTTCAGAAGAGTTTGTCAGTCTTTACTGTCTGTTCTACTGACAAGGGTCTTCTTTTCCTTGACAGCTTTGCAAAGTACACATTATTGCATTAAAAAGGTCATCGGATGTCTCATACGCTTGTGATAAACTGGGCTCCTTGCCCTCTTCACTTGGGCTCTCCCTCCCCCTTCCCAGTTTTATACTAGTCAAAAAGATTTACTTCTCTTCTAAAAAATAATATATAAATAAATACATTGTGAGTCACAAACATTAAATACTTAATTTGAACCGGCAGAAAGACCAGCTACTGGAATTCTACAGTGGTCTGTTAGCTCGTATGTCTCTGCATGTGCATATTGAAGGAAACAGCAGAAATAATACTTTACAATTTGATGAACAACATATGACACAGAACCTCTAGACTCGCAAAAAAGGGTTACAAACTTAGGAAAATACCTGCCGTGTAGAATTCTGCCCTCTCCAAGAAAAAAAAAACCTACACACTCCTTACTTTCACTGATACAGAACTGTCACCATTAAGGCTTGATATATAAATAAATTGGATTAAAGAAGAAAATAATCACTAAGGACTTAATTGAAGTTTGGGTCATAAAAAGGGATACTTTCTGAGTACATGTTGGATGTCAAAACAGAAAGGATGATACTGTGCCATCTGCTTTTACGCAGAATCCTCCCTTGATTTCAGCTATGAGCTTTGCTTATAGTTGGCACCATAATGGCTTATAATAATTTAACCACATTTTTTTCTGGAGCAAAATATAACATCACTCTCCATTTCATCATGTACAGAGGAGGAACCCATGAACCTAACTTAAACTGGAAAGAGAGAAAAAAGAGAGGGGGAAAAAAGGCATATTTGATTCTCAGTGTCTATAGAATTATCTCAATGCAAGCTGCAGATAGGAGCGTTATCTCTGAAAATCGCAAGAAGCAATCACATCATTGGAATAAGCAAATAAAAGGACTGTGCTTTCAACAAGCACAACAGCAAAGTAATACCAAGTTTGAAAATATGCCTTAGTTTCAAAAAAATGAGTGAAACTGTTGTAAGTATCGGTCTCAATGAAGTAATGCATATGCCTACTAGATAACCAATAATACCCATTTCTGCAAACCAGATTCTTCACCCGACAAACAGCCCATACTAAACTTAATGCTCCGCTGATACTGCCTATTCTTTCTTCCCCATAAAGATACAAAAATAAAAGGGAAACATTCGAGCCTAAAAGATGCCACAAGTGCTATATTTAGCCCTTTTCACTGAAAACTCACCTTCCTTTCTGACTATGAGTGCTTGGGAGAGAAAATCTTTTTAACATTTCAGACTGCTGCGTTCTCCCTTGTCGCAGAGCTCTTCAACCGCCCCTATTCAACTGTCACGCATTCCTAATTCAGTGGGGATGGCCTGCCTCTTATAAATTACTCTCGTAAACCAGCTATTTCTGCTGCTTCCCCTGGGATTGCACCCAAGGTGAGGATCAAGCAAGCAACACTCAGCATCCACATGTGCAAGGTCCGAGCCGGATGGGAGCAAGCAGACAGTAACCGAGCCATGTTTTACCACACTTGGCATTTGCCTTCTGCGAGCTGCCTTCGAGAAGATCACCAGCAAGGTACGTTTGAATATGCCACCTTTTTCCTAATGCCAATGAGCCTCTTCAAGTACCTGAAATCCGCCTGATTTAAAAACTACAGGCATAAGCAGGTCTGTTTTCTCCAAAGAAATATCCTGGGGTACTTTATCACTGGACAATGCTGCAGAACTAGTTCTTAAAGTGACTGTTAAAGCCATCTCTCGTGTTTAGCTGCTGATACTCTCGAGAACCTCAGCTGTAGTTTTAAGTACCTTCTGGTGCTGTTTGAGCTTTTGCAAGCATATACTTTTACAGCTGTGTTAACATCTATGCAAAAGAACTGAACAAAATGAGGGAAAAAATGACGGGACTGCAGAGAGGAAAGAGAAGGCAGAGGGAGCAAAACTGAGATGGGGAGGGATGGATTTAAAAAAGAAGTTCAAAGAAAAATGTTGACCAGATAAAGGGAAAGGGAACTGGAAAAGGGAAATCAGAAGTGTTAACTTGTGATGGAGCACACGGCCACACCTTCGTATCTTCTAATACCCGATCATGTTTTCCAAGTGACATCCCCATCACTTTTCTTTTGAAAGCCTATGCACAAGTGAAAGACACGCAGAGGAGAGGTGCACAAAGCAGACTCTCATTAGCTGTAAACATCAGTGAGAACACAGAATTTCAAGTATCTGAGACTGAAACCTTTCCATGGCCAAAGAATCAAAACACGTGTCTGACAGCCACGTCTACAGACTAAATGGCCAGGGAAAGAGGAAACTTTTAATGAAACATATTATCAGTCACTACAATCGTATGAGGCATGAAGATGGCCCACAGTGGAAAAACTAAATTCTACATGCAAGTATCCTGCTGTTCATTTTTGCTCTTTCTCACTGGATTTAAGGAAAATATGCTGTGTTTCCAGGCAATGTAGGACAAAGACGTTTTGGTTTTTAAACTTTATCTTGTGCACACTACATCTGAATGTTATCACCTCTCTTAATCACCTTCTGAGGTCTGATAGTGCCCCTTTAACCTTTGTTACTCAATTACTGAACAAGTTATCTCATTGTTACTCTCTTTTGAAGGAAGAGTTGTGCCTCTTTTCATGCTGATAAGAGACACATAAATATTCACTCCCAGCAAACATTTAATAGTAAAGTGTCTTGAGCAAACTACCAGAGTCTAAAGGTAGGAAGCTGTGGTTAACTTCTCTGTTATCTTAACCCTTTAGTCAATCCACCAGAACAAACAGACACAGAAGATGGATGCTCTTTTTTACAAATGAAGCAGAAATAATTGTTCTCTAAAAGAATGGACTTTATAACATGCTTTATAACACAGCAAATAAATCAAATGGAAGTGAAATACCTACCCATTTTCTGGGCCGGCCTCTGGGTCGCTTTTCACCAGTGGCTTCTGCTTTCTGTAAAGGGAAAAGAAACACAACATATTTTATACCTCAGCATTATTTAACAGCCTCGGTAACTAGGAACTCCTTTCCTGTAACATTATCCATAATTATATCTCTTGGGTGGCACCAAGTCCCGCTCCCGCTCTATGGGTTTTCCGGTGGAATGTGTTTATGTTGTTTTTTCTGACATTTCCTAGCCAGTGTGGCCAGGGGATGCCTCGCCTGCGCCCAAGGGTGCCCCCAGCCCTGATCCACACTGTGTCCAGGGCCACAGAGCAGCATGCCCACGCACACCCAGCTGCTCAGTGCCTGCAGTACAGCCTGGGGTGCCCCGGCCAGCCATGGGGCATGCAGGCTGTGGAAGGGGGCGCAGAGCAGCTTGGGAACCCGAGAATCCCCAAAAACATCAAATCTAGTCATTCATAGGCTGTCAGAAATTACCTGTGGATACTAAATAAAAAATACAGACTGTTTCAAGCCTGAACAAAGCAGTTTATAGCAGCCACAATTTCTTCTTTTAGTCTCATGATGCTCATGCATGAAATGGATTTGGACAGACTATCACCATGAATGTGTGTGTGTTCATATTGGGAGAGAACGTCTCTACTTCATGTGAAGTTTTCCAGGTTAAAACGCATCCTTAAGCTGTAAGCAAACATTTCACTGGTCCAAAACACACCTTCCCTTTTCAGGTTTAAGGAAACAGCATGGAAGGTGCCCTAGCAGTGACAGCTATATTTATGTAAGCCCAGCAGTTGGTCCTGGAGCTCAACTTAAAGGAAATATAGGTTCTCTTAACAGACTCTTCCATTAATTCACTGCGTGACACTGTGAATACTACTACTTATGCGCTACACTAAAATACTTACAGGCTTTAAAATGAAAATTGCAGGTTATTTTCTCTAGATCGGCTCTGCCCATCCATATACCTCATTAGGTAAATAATCCTGTCCCACTGAGGATGATGAGGATTTTGCCACCAGCTTTAGTGAGAGCTGGACTTCTGCTGCATACAAAGTCCCTGAGAATTAAGACTTTTAGTACACATTCAGTTAATGTGCTTCCACATTTCCACGAATTGCTATTTTTGCAGTTAACTGTATGTGTATTTGATTTGCCCTTAGAAATCAACTGTGTCATTAAATAAATCACTTGCTGGTCGATCTCTGTAACATATACTGTAACCTAATGCTGTGTAAAGCGGATCCCTCTAAAAGAGAACTTGAGCTGAGGAAGTAGTGGAGGAATCTCTACAAAAAAACTGCCCTGAGAGTTAAATGCAATTACTTTGAAATAAATATCTCACCATGAAAAAAGCTGTGAAAAATAAAATTCACACTCCTAAAGGGCAAAATTATCACTCAGACTTGTTAAAAGAGTAAACGTGCTCTTTAATCGTTTATACCAGTGTTACATGTAAGGTGAAACCCTCTTATGAGAATACTTGTTAAAGTGCATTTACTATATACTGTAGCTGTCTATTTCAGAGTTTTGTTTCCTTTTAAAGCGTTCATTTCTTTATACCTTATAACCTGAAGGATGCAAACCAAAATGTGGTTTAGTTTTGACAAGCTGTAGCCCCCTGCATTTATATTTATTTCACAAAACACTGGGCATAAATCTTAAAAGAAAATATTGGTTACAATTGTTCTTAACAAATCAACACCTGACATGTTATCAAAGTACAAATGCCATTTATTTTATTTTATTCTGTATTTTACCGCATCTGAAGGAAAGACCCTTTTCCAAAACTCTATGAAAAAAAAATTAACTTTTTTGAAATGAAAACTACTTTGTCCTCACAATTAAAGTTCCTACAAACCTGACACAAATTGTAAGTTTAACTACAGCGTATAATCTAGTTTGATGGGCAAGAGAACATGAGAGATTTCTTTGAATAACTAATCTTTGCTTCCTGCCATAAACTGTCACGCAGCATGGCCGCTTGCCATGAACAATGCTGCGCTTTACCCCCGAGGAAGGTCCATGTCAGAAGTGGCTAGTGTTCCTGCTGGCTAGTTTGGGTATCAGTTTGTCAAGTGCTTGGGGACCTTTCAGATTGAAAGGCACTATATTCCTGCTGTATATGATTTCCACCTCATGTTAGAAGAAAAACATTTCCATAGTTCTTATCAAAACCAAATCTTTCCCAGAGGCAAGCTGAGCAAACAGCGGGGCATGCCAGAGACGGTGTTTTGGTACAGAGTGATTCTGTAAGTAAATAGGAAGGTTTCCACAGACTAAACGGCAGAAAATGAACAACAAGAACCTCCAAAGTGGATGCTTTTATCTCCATTCCAAGGGAAGAGAAAGACAAAACATTTCTGGAACAACCAAAAGGAGTAGTGGCAGTCCAGTGGTGATGATAAAGACATGAAGTTTAGGAAAATATTCCACCTCTTTCCCTCTGGATTTTTTTTCAGTTTGCATTTTGCAAACACAGCCTATATTTTCTCCAACAGCACAAGACTGTCTTTTAATTTAAGCACTTGAAGAAAGGTTTTATTGCATATCAGACAAATAATTCAATGTTTCTCCATATAATTTTCAAGTAATTAATAAGAAAAGGAACACGTAAGTGCCAAAGCATTCCCTTTCCTCCGAAACAGGTATTTGCATAATCAGAAACATGCCGGTCTGTTGGCTCTTTGCTTTAATTGAAGTGTTGCCTCTGAAGCTAGGAACAAATCCAGAGAGAGCCCCAAGCCACCCAGAGGTAATACGGATTCTCATCTGGGCAGCAAGACGCACGTGTTCCCAGCCACCCTACACGCAGCAGTTGGTACCTGCTTAGTCAGGAAGGAAGCTGCTGCCCTCATCCTCTACAGCGCTTTTTGAAATTGAGATGCCTTTGGTCAGGGTTTTCTTAACATTTGGTGCTACACTATGAGGCGTGATCTTGCTCTATACAGCTAAGACACGAAATCACCAAACTTAAAGGAGGGTCAGGTACGTTATCAAACACAAGCTTATGATATTGCACGAAAAATGATGAGATTTCTTACAACTAATAATATGAATACATCATTTTTGCTATGTCACATTTTAGGAACAGAACTAGATTTACTCGCTTTTAAGCACATGATCTATACGGGAAATGTTGGGGTTTTTTGTCCCAGGTGAGAAAGATGGCCATTCCAGTCATTGCCGTCTGGAAGAGACCTAACAGCCCCCAATTCACCAAAGCCCTGTACCACAGGGCCATCAAACCCTGCTTCCAAACAGCTGCTGTCAGCAACCGTAGGACTTGACTGCCCATCATCTCTACCTCCTTGTTGCATAAATGTGCCGTGCCCAGACAGAAACTGAGGCTGTACTACTGAAAGCAATTAACAAGACAAGACAAGTATAAATAATTGAACGGCTATGAAGTGCTCTTTGGGCATCTATCTATTGTCGAGGAAGATCTCAAATGCAACAGAATCCAGATTTGGAGAACTCTATCCGCTTTGCAAAATGATCTACTGGAGACCTCAGATAAAATCTGTCAGAGCTGTAAGACAGGTGAAATATCGGAGAGTTCTCGGGAGGAAGATCACTGTTGTCAAACCGTGCCAAAAGACCTTGCCCAGGAATGTGTCCCTCTCCTAAAAAAAAGTTATTTTGTTAAAAAAAAAAACTCTTAAAAGAAACTTAGGCATTGGGTAGATACAAAAATATCACACTTCCCATGTCCTGTTTTACCCATTTTAATTCTAAACAGGAGTCAGTCTTCTCCTGCTTCTCTCATCGTGCTCAAAACGCCTGATTTTGAGGTCTCTTATTTTTTAGGTACAAAAACCATGCTATGATCACTTGATAAATTTGATCTTGTTTTCCCTTTCAGCCTGTAATGTCTGGTGTTGATGAGAATGAATGAAGCATGGAGAAGCCAAATAGATTTTCATGAACCAATTTAGGGCAGAGTCCTGGTCACATGCGCTTTTTTTACCTTTGGACTGCTTAACTCAGGGACATGCCTTTCTACATACCAAACTCTGGCCATGTAACGTAGAGACAGCAGTAAGTGTAGTCACACAGTACCACAAGTTCTGGTTTTCGGAGGATGATATTTCAAGATCTGGAGGTATTTTCAGTGAATTTCACTACATCAATAGCTAAAACAAAACTCAAAATATTTTAACCGAAGGTGAATTTTACTAAAGAGCGTTTACTTTTGGATATTCCTGGGATATCCCTTGACATTTTCTTTCAAGACAAACACATAGTAGCTACTACTACTTCTTTTTTTAACCTCACAATTGTGTTTCCTCCTTCCAAACAGGAGAGTATTTATGCCTACACAGTATTTTTGTCAAGCTCAACTACAGGAGCTAAACAAAGAAAAGCCCTTGAATGCTTAAGGGAAGCGCGATGGGCTGGGAACACAGCTCAGTCTAACAAATAAAACTCAAACACAGAACACCCGGGAAACTAAAAAGGAACATCCCTACTAGGATCTTCCCGCAAAACTAGTCGTTCTTTAGAAAAAAAAAATAAAATCTTCACCGTTTCGCTAATTTTTTACAAATATTTTAAATGAATAACAGAATGACTTGTTTAAAGACGCAGACTTCAATAACAGCCTAATTGTAGGGACTCAAGTACAAGGTGATTAAGAGTCTTTTTGTGTCTATCTCTTCTCATCTGCTAACACATTGTGTTCCTTCTGTTCATGAAAATTAAACAACTGAGAAATGGTTTGGGTTTCTATAAAATAGAGGTTACCTTTTGTGTCCAGTTAGGCACTGATACGCAAGGCTTTTAAAAAAATGCGTATTACCTAAAATTAGAGTAATTGCCACATTATTAGCTGTCCGATTGGTCTTGCAACATTCTGTATGCATTGTCAAGTTTCACATTGCTAATTTCCTAACAAGCACAGTTTGTTTTCAGATGCCCCAAGGCCAGTTTACTAAGACCAAACACAAGCTCTGAAAGCTAAAAAAAAAAATCCCATGAACCAAAAAATTTTAAATGCACAACACAACCATGATTCCAGGGTAAATTGTCCCTCAACTGATTTAAGGGTATTTCCTTTTTGAAGTATAACAAAACAAAGTCCCAGTTCTGGAGTATTTTTAACTCGCTGCCAGTTTGTGCAATACATTTTTAATTGTGATGTGTAATGGTTTGCAAGAGAACACCCAATCAATTAATCATGAGTGCCTTCTCATGGCTGCTCGGTGGGTTCTCCTGGCCAACGTTTATCTTACATGTTGTGAACACTCTAATACATTTCAATGAGCTCCCTTTGAAAAACACAGGCCACACACTATTCTTTAGAAATTCCAGCAGTTTCCAGTTGCGTGTATAGTACCCAGGTTCACATGTAGAGGGGCTTCAGCTAAGTTAGCCAGCTCTCTTTCTGAGAGTCGAGACAGACTGTAGAAAGCCTTAAATAAATATATGTATGCATATGTATGTGTAAATATGTTTACCACAAAATCAAACATATAGCTCGCTCTTTTAAGAGGTGATACCCTCACCACCAAATGAAGCTTTCTTACTGTGCCAAAACCTTTCCATTCATATTACTGTTAGAAAAACTATCAAAATTAATATTACATAAAAAGATACTTTGAGATGCCTGGTGAGAAGGTGAACCATTTTAGAGAGAGTTAATTATCAATTTGGAAAAAGAGCTAAAATATTTATTTGAAACGTGATCTCAGTGACTTTCTTCTAGTAAGGCTTTATAAGCGTTTTATGTTTTAGAGGATTTATCAAACATTTATATATTTTATCTATAAACCTAGAAACAAATAAGACTTGTAATTACATACCTCTCAAAGATTTTTTTTAATGATAAAAAAGACATGTGGTCTTTGGTCAATTTTTTATAGTATCAACACCCGAAAGGGTTTGCTTTAATTAGAGCAGTAACTTGATGCATTCTGAAAATCAAAATGTTACAATGAAATTGCTCAGTTCGTAAATTAGATTTAAAAAAACAACTATATGCAGCAGAATCATCTGGAAAGCTCTTGATTTGATATACCTACATATATATGAATGTTTTTAAGTTATTTTCCATTTATACTGATTTTCTACTCACTCATATAAATGAAATAATGTTAATATTTCTTTTAGAAATATATTTTTTAAACACATTTCTATGAATTACTTAAATTTTAATCTTATTACAAATATTTCTCCTTGGAAAGCCAACACTCCTAAGAGTAATATTTAAAATACTAAAGCTCACATTTGAACTTGCTAGACTAATAAAAAACTGCTCTCTCCCTTTTGAAGAGTGAAATTTAAACTATTTTAAAGTGAATCTGAGGAACACTTTTACTATATAAAGAAAAAAATCAACATTTTAAGCTCACTAGGTCACAGAGTGGCTTTGATATATTTTAAATACTTAACCTATAAAGCATTTTTTACTAATTCATGAACTTATTGACAGAATATACTGCTTTTTTCCAGCTCAGAAAGTAAAAAACAATTTTAAATTTAAAGAGAGTTGCAAAACGTCCCTCAAATAAATGTTGAAAACACTTATAACGAAACAGACATGAAACCATAGTCACTGCCTAATAATTTAATATTTATCGGTATTTGCTATAGTAATTTATAATACTGAAAACTATCAAACTTAATATGGTCAGTACCATAGGCACACTGAAAAATGAACGATAATTAGATGAGGCCACAAATATCTTCCACACACATTTTGTCACAGATCTACTTAAAAGATTCTGATACACTTAAGCACTACAGTTCACTACCAGATTTTGTAAGCTTTTGTTTCCAATTTAGTACCTGTAAATTAGTGCTAACTGCTGTGTAACCATCAACATAAACAAACCTCCCGTATTTATTTTCAAGCCTATACACAACTATTTGCCTTCACTAAAATAATTCGTACAGAAAGGTACTATTTGCCTTGATAGCACAGTTTGCTAATGCTGAGCTTTCCCCAATTCAAATAAAATTAAGTCACATTTTCACGTTGTATTTCTGATGGAAAGTCCATGCACTAAATGCAGCGAGTTCAGTGAGCTTCCCCTATAGCTAAATGCATTCAGAACCACCAGAATAAAAGTTTGCTCCCATCACCAAGCAGAAGTAGTGGTTCAGAAGACTAATAGCTCTCCAAGTAAAAGTCTCTTTGAAACTGATTACTAAACAAGATATAGTAGGCTTTTACTGTAACTCACAGTTTACTTTACCATCACATTTTAAAGCTGTAAATTTCAATATATGCACTTATTTCCATCAACACATAATTGGATTTACTTCTAATTAACCTATGTTTGACAAAACACTTAGCTTTAATATACAGATTTGGTCTGTAGTAGTAATGACTGCAAATGGGCAAGAAATTAATCCTCCTCTTTCAAAAATCTTAATCGAGAAAATAATATCCTTAATATTGATTTCCTTACTACATACAGGAGATCTCGGTAAATACATCAAATACATTATGTTATTTCACTAATCTGTACCCTATTCAAAAAGCAAGCTGCCCATATAGGTTCTGTACCTAGGGTCTTCATGCAGCATGTTAATGCTAATCTTAAAAATGCAAAAATACATGCTTTACGTAGCTTCCATTATTAAAAGGGTTCCAACCCCTCAGTTCACAGCCTAAATGACTGGATTTTTTGCTACCAGCTGATAAAAAAACAGCATTAGGAACTCTTGCTCTTTAATAATCTCACCTTCTGAGCTGCTTTAGAGGGACTCTTGTTTTTGCTTCCTTTGGGTCTTCCTCTTGGTCTTTTAGGAGATGGTTCACCAGTTGGTTCCTAAATACAAGAAAACATACTATTGTGGCAAGAGGCTACAACTAACCCAGAAGATCTGAAGGATAAACTATAACTGAGAAGTTACTTAAAACATATGAATTAACAGTATAAACAAATAACACAATATTTAAAATGCAACATGAAAAATTAAACAACTCGAGGTAAAGAAAAAATGTATTTTGCACAATAAAAGAGTTTAACTTCCCTTGTAATTGCACAAAAAACTTTGAAAAGTTTGCATATTCTAGCACGTAAGTTATAGCAGAAAACACATTTTTAAAAGAAGATGGCTATGATTTCCCTCATGTAAGAATGATTATTCAAAAAATAATACAGTTACCCATTTAATTTCAATTGCATTTCATTACAGCAGATACAATTATCATATGTAGTTTCTAGCAAAAACTTTTTTGGGGGAAAAAAGTTAACTGCTGGAAAACTGAAACATAAGCTTAGACTATTTTCTCTCTCAAGGGCACAAATATTTTGGGGGGATTTTTTTCTGTTGTTCTGCAGTCGGCATTATATTCACACCTTTTCCAAACATAACTGATTTGTATTAAAATGCAAATGTAAAAGTTTCATGAAATAGAGCACTAGCAAGCCAAAAAACCTCGGCGAAAGAAAATACCCGAAACAAAAAACCCAACTCTAAAATTACTCGACAGGAACACTGATTATTTTAGCAATTTTCTTAACTAGCTCCTCTGCCTGACAGTAAATAACCAGTCCTTAAAAATGGGTATACATTACTAAGAGTTCAGATTCCAAATATTTATTCAGTGAATCATAACCACTATAAAACTCTTCTAGTCTTAAATATTATACATTTAATTCAGATTATAGGATGTGGTAAAACTAATTAAATGCAGTTTGTTAACTTAAACCAGCTTAAAACCCTTCAGCTTTTTAATTCCCGGGTAGGTTAAGGGGAGGCTGGAGAGGGGACTCCCTAACTGCTCCAGCTCTCAGCGGCGAGCCTCGCAGGCACTGCACATCTGGGCTGAACACGTTTAAGGAGCCGCACTTTTCTTTCTCTTCCATACATTCAAACGCTATGCTATGGGAGGG